ATTATTTGGTGGATATAGGATAGAATAATGGCAGATTTTTTTCTGTTATTTACCTATTATTCATTCTTTATTTATTTATTTGATCTGTGTTAGTTTTATAATATTCAATTACATTATGTAGAATTTGAATTGAAGTATGGATAGAGAAATTTTTGAAGACTACAAAATTAAGATTAGAAAAAAGATTATTGGAAATAATAATCTTGTCTAGTCTAGATATGAAAATTTTTATAAAAGTTTTCTTAAAGAGTTCAATAATAGATATAGGTTATATTTAAGTAAGAGTGTAGTCCTAGTTTGATTTTTTTGAAATAAGAAAGATATTGAAAGATTTCCATTCTGTAAGAATTTATTGAAGTTGAAAATATTTGTTTAAAAAATGTTTGAAAAAGTTTTATACTTTGCAACTTATATATTTAATATGTTCATAGTAGATTTAGAAGAACTGACAGCTTTTTGATTTGAAAGATTAAAGATAATCTCATGCTATTCTTGTTGTATGATTTTTTAAGTAAGATTTTAATAGTGACTTTCAAGTTTAGAATATAGTTTATACAGATTTGAATATTTACTAGTTAGTGAAATAGTTTTCAGAGATTTAATTCAAAATAAGTAGTAAAATGCATATGAAAAATATAATTTTTAAATTATTTTTACTATATATATATATTTTTTTTTATAATTAAAGTCTCTATCTTGAAAGATGTATCATTTTTATTCAAGTATATTTGGACATGATATGCCACCAGGGGCTTACCTTACATTGGAGTTTTAACTAGCCATATATGTACTTTTGGTATCTAATCTAAATAGTTTACTTACACATTACTATATAAGTTCTATACTAGTTGTCATACTTGCAAGCCAACTAAAGGTCTTGCCTATTTAAATCCTCTGTATATGCAATTCTTTTTATATCATAGAAACATTTCAAGGCTACACCTATCCAAATTTTTGATGCTGGACATTACCCTTAGAACTACTTTATTCTCAACAGAAAACTTACTAAAACCTTTATATCTTACATATATAGACCTAGTTTTATACAACACACTATAGTTATTTAACACTTACAGTTATAGAGGTTATCTGTTTAACTACTACATTATACTATTTCTACTCTTGTAAAGTTTACTAGAACCTCAGTACCTATCTTCTTAGCATCTTCTTTATTATCCCTTACTAGCCACAATTTAGAACTGGCAGTCTCTTCTAGACTAACAATCTCGATAGTCTAGTATAATATACTTCTGCATTCTTTTTCTTTGACAAATCTGTGATCTGATTAGTTATATGCTTCTCTATATATATTTGGTGTCCTGTTTAACTTTTAGTTCCTAAAAAAGTGTTTAGTAGGCTTCAACTAGTCTAATAGTATTATCAAAAGTTCATGCTATCTTTTTACTTAGAAATTTTTAAGTAGATTTCCATTACCTCAATTCTTTAGTCTTCTATGCTTAGTGATCTTATTGTGGGTTTGTATTGAAGTCTTATGTAATACTGGTTATACATTCTTTTATATATATATAATATTACACTTTATATAGATACTCTAAGCTTCCAATATTAGTAGGACCTAACTTGGTATATCTGGGTTATAGCTGCATGAGGCCAACCAATCAACAGAAGACAGTTACTGTAATGCAGATATAATTTTCAAATTTCATTATAGTTGAAATTTGAACCTTAGACCTGCCACTTGGAGAATAACAACCAAACTACTACACTAGAATTACTATCCTCATATTTACTATATTTTAAATAATGCAATAAATTATTAATAATATTAAATACAGTTTACTTATAAAATATTTTTATTAAAAACATACTTTATAACTTTATTAAAGTTTTTTTAAAATTAATAAAAAATTTTTAAGATTTTATATGCTCTTGAAATTAAAAAAAAATATTTTTAATACAAATTTAAATTTATACAAATAAATTAAAAAATTGTATTAATAAAAATTATTATAATTTATATAAGCTATAATATTGTATTAAAAATTATAAGTTTAAATTAAAATTTAAAAAGTTTATTAAGAATTAGTAAATAATTTTTTGATTAATTTTTTAAAAAAATTTGTCTATTTGTAACTTATAAGTAATTTAAACTTTTCTTATAATATAAAATTAAATATTACAATATTATAATCTTTATTTTTAAATATTATTAAATAAAAATTTTATTTAAATATTTTAAAATTTAAAATATAGTTTATATGTATATTTTTAGTAATTTTTTAAACAAATTTGTTTAGAAATAGTCTGAAATTTAAAAAATAGTTATTTTTATAAATATTTTTTATTTATATCAATAGTTATAAATAATTAAAAAATTATATTTTAAAAATTGTACAAGAAAATAAAGCTAAGTATACTAAGTAAAAATGTTTAAAAACCAAATCTTTAAATATATAATATTAAATTTAATCTATTATATTTATTATATCTTATTTTAACTAATTTTATATAACTACTCTAACTTTAAATATTAATTAAAATTTGTTTATAAAAATATTAGTATTTAATAGAAATGATTAATACCTTTTGATTAGTAATAAATTTTGTAGTTACAAAAATTGGACTATTAAACAAAAATTAATTAACAACTAGGTTAAAAATTGGATATCTGATTTTTGGCTAATTTTTTATATTTTGACTAGCATAATAAGTAGTGCAAGTTATATTAATCTATTTTATTTATGATTTAAATCGTAAAATTAGTTCTACTATTTAGATCACAATTAAAATTAAATTATATAAATACTATTAAATTAATTATAACTAGTACTATTAAATTTAAACTAATAATATAAAGAAACGTAATTTAATCAAATGTCATAAAATAATTTTTGAATTAAACCTTTTATTATATATAAAAAAGACTAATATAAATTAATTATATAAAAAACTCAAAAATATATTTAATATGCAAAAAACAGAAATTTAAATTAAACCTTTTGAAGAATTTTATTTTAATATAAATTATAAAAACAAAATTAAAAATGAAAGATTTTTAAATATTAAGTATTAAGGTTTGTATATACTATAAAATAAAAATAATAAACAATATGTTTTTAATTTATAACATATAATTACAAATCGATAGTATTTAAATCAACATTTAATAATATTAAGTTGTAAAAATTTCAACTTTAAAGTATATTTGATTTGAATTATATATTCTTGAAATTGCATAAAAATATCTGTTATATTTGATCAAACTATATGTATATTTAGCATTAGATTATAATCATATCAGAAATCTTAAACTATTGCTGCATTATGATTATATGAGTTTGCTGGATAAATGAATAATATAATCAATATAATAATTTTAAAATTTTTATTTAGTAACTAATCGAAATAAATATCGATTAAATAATCTAGTATAAATAAAATACCAAGTTTCAAGATTTTTCTGAGCATAATTTAACTATTATTGCGGGTTGATTGATGCCAACAATTGAACCAATAAAGAGTATACGTATGAATTTAGTAGGTTTATTATCTGATCTTAGCAATTGCCATGATATTAAATATAATGCGGCGCAACATTACATAACGGCAAATCTATTATAGAACAATCACATCTAGTCATAAGGCCTGAACTCAAAATTTCAATGGATAGGAACAAATAGACTGAAACATTAATTAATCATTGTTATATGATATTATGTAAATGTGAGTCCATACAAGTTCTACACGGGTTTGTTGCAAATCCCGAAGCTCACATCTCCGATGATAAATAATCCTGACAGACAAACTCTTGAAATAAATACCAAAATCATAACATATACAAAATTCAGCTAGTAAAGAATCCTGACTACTAACCTAATATTCTGCATTTGAGTTTATAATGCCTTATTATCAAATTCTATACTGTCGGCGTTTGAACTGTCGTAGTTTTGAATTGTCAAAATCCTAGAATTCCAAATTTTGTCTGTTTTGATTCTGTACCATTCCAAGATTTTGTCTTTTTAGATTATGAACCATCGGGATTGTAAGCACCGGAATTTTGCACGGCTCCCTTCTACATATGTCATTGTTGTTTAATTCAAATGAAATTTCAAGGTAATAGTAAATCTACATTAAAATAAAGTTTACTAAGCGTAAATATCGATTTACTTTGTTAAACCACGTTAATAAGCAGGGGTGCGGGGCAAAATCCCGACAAGTCATAATTCCGACAAAAATCCCGACAATCAGAATTTTCGAGAAAAACGTTCAAATAAGGAGCATGCTTAAAATGAAATAGACTTTATAATTTAATTACCTTTAGGGTTAGGTCACTTAGATAAGGGTTAGGCTAAGCTAGTTATGGTTTATGGCATTTTTATCAGAATTTTTAATTGCCTGAAATTTTAACTGTCCGAATTTTTGGCTGTCGGGAATTTTTTGTCAGAATTATGGTGACCCAAACCCAATAGGAACTTAATTTTAAGTTTTGTATTTTAGACATAAACTTAAATCCGATAAAATAAATAACTATGTATCATAATAAGAATATATCTATTGAAGTCAAGCCCATTCTTTCATATGGGCTAGTTTGTTTTATTGGACCTTGAATGGAGTCACTGAATTTAATCTAAACCCCTTATTTGATTATTATTATTTTTTATTGGTCTGACGAATTAATAATTGTGATTGTTTGGATCCATTGAGGGACTGTTCTGCAAAAAGAATTAAATAAAGATGCATCAAACCCATTAGGCGCTCTTAAATTAAAATCCCGATAGATTATCGTCTAATCCATTAGTCTGGACTTATTAAACTTTCCACCTCAAAAATAGTATAGTTAATTTTCTAATCAGTTGTCTATCAGACAATTATATTGCCTAATGAATTTCCCTCCTATCAAAATTTTTTAGGGTACTGCATCTAGCTTATATGGATGAAACATATGTTCTGTTTTTACATTACCTCTCTTTCAATAAATCATTTCATTCATTGTGTAAAATGATTTGCAGGTATTCCTTTTTCGTCGCTCATATATAGAGTCACCGATATTCTCAAAAAATTTTTTTATTTTTTAGTTATTTTTTTATTTTTAGTTATTTTTTTATTTATTATTATTTTTTTATTTTTTTGCTATTTAGTTATTTAATTGTTTTTATTTATAATAATAAATATAAATTCTTATCTCCTCCGCAGGAGGCAGATAATAAAACAGAATCAAATTAGCCTGACATCCTTCATACACAGTTTGTGTTACCAGTATTTTTTTTAATATTTAATAGTATTTTTTTCTTACTGTGGGAAATTTTGGATACTCATTTAAATATTGCACAATCACAGTACGCCTTTTTAGTTGCGTACATATGTACATTTGTATTATTCTAAATAATGCAAGATTAAATGATAAGGTTTGCGATACGTTATGATAAGAGATGTCAACTTGGCAAGTATAAAGTAGCGTTAGTACTATTCTATTCTACTTTATATATAATACTTTTTATAAGCATATATTATAAAACATCACTTATTGATTTTTATTTATTTATTTATAGTAATAAGATTCATTCACGCGGTCAGTCATAATTAATTTATAGTACATTATATATATTATATTATTTCATGGCATATACATATAACTAGTTTTGTATATCACAAAAACATGTAAACATATCAAACATCACCTACTCTTTTTAACTATTTTATAATAAAAAATCTTATCGTCATTCGGTAAAATGAGAATAACGGCAAAACTGTATGAAGGTCACCTTTGATATTATCAATCACAGATATCAAATAAAGTGAACATCATATCACATGATTACAAAGTGTACATATTGAAATTAGCTTAGAATTAACAAAATTAACCATTGCATAAAATATAGAAATAATGAAAGAATGGAAAAGCTTAGTAAAGATAAGTATTTTCATTATAAATGTATGAGATCGGAGTAGTCTCAAATATTTGTTGCTGTTCATTATTTAGTATATTATATGTGTCAATAGTGTCAATGGTGTTAACAGTGTTAATTGCGTCAATGGTGTCAATGGTGTCAATGGTGTCAATGAATGTGTAGTCATCACCTTTAGGGAATATCGACGGTAAAACAGGTGGATTAGGAATTTCGAATTGATCAGATAAATAGGGAAATGTAGGAGTAATAAAAGGCTGAGAAGGGAATGTAAACATATTGACATAAGATGTTTGCGTTCTGGGTAATGTATTTTGAAATTGATTTGACTCTGTCTTCAATTTACGTTTCTTTTTGTTAGGTTTCGTTCCAGATTTTGGACGATAAACGTACTCCGGGTACGTCATCATATGTTCCATTTTTTTCTTATCGGCTACCTTTTGCCAATAAAGCTTTACCTCATCTGATTCATTTTGCCATAGGTCTGAAAGCTTTTTTGATATCTCTGCATTTGACATATTACCATAAATACTTGTTATTTCAGATTGTTTGGCTTGTCTGTAAAGAAGGAAAGAATTCGGTGGACGACGGATTCTTTCCTCTTTATGCAAGGGCGACTTTATAGCTTCATTATTGTTTGATGAATCCTGCTCAAACGAACTAATTGGAGCGTTCTTATGAGGACGCTGGGGATTAACTTTCATGCATTCTAAGAATGAAGTAAAGATAAAATTATCCTGCGTGCGGATATTGCTGTTTTCCAAAGAAGTTGTATAATCAATGGTCAATTGTGTTGGTGGAACTGTCCTATCACTGGACTTTATGAATGAAGGTGTTGGAACGTCAAACATTAAAAGACTGCAATATTTTCTCTTTGCTGCCTTGTCCATTCTTTGTTTTATTGTATCATATCGTAATCAGAATATCTTCTATTTTATATAACAAGGAAGCCTCGATGTTACACAACTGATCCTTCACTCGGTGTGCAACATACGTATAAAAAGATTATTTTACAATACAATACCAGATCATTCTTCTAGTACATCAACATCTTTTTTATTATAATAAATGTTGTTGGATTATGTACTAGCACACCGGGTGAAGTTTCCTCCTGTTATTCAGACATTAATACGTGATGCATAAAAATATCAAAGATTTATGGTACAGTATAACCTCGATATAACGAACACTAATTGTATACTGAAGGTCATTCCAAATTTTTATATTTAAATTAGCCTCAAAATAACGAATCTATAAGAAATTTAGATATAACGAAGAAAAACCTCCAGCTTCAGAGCTTCGTTATATCGAGGTTATACTGTATAGTTATATTGATTTTCATTATAAGAATCCACGATGATTCATTCGAAATATCATAGTAAAACAATAATAGTTTAGTAATTGTTCACCCGTTTTTGGAAAGTGGCAATGTTAAGTTAACATACACAAACTTATTCCGAAAGAATTTTTTGCGAAAATATGTACATGTATACAAACAACACAAAAAAAAAAAAAAAAAAAACGCCATTCATACTTACTCGTCTCCCTGATGATAATCTACTATTGTGATATAAAAGAATTAATTTTAAATCTTAACAAAATAGAAAAGATCATTCATATGGTTACGGTCTAATCCGAGTGACAGGTATTTGTTATCTGTACAAACTCATAAAAAAAAAGTGAATTGTAAGAGTAATGCACTACAAACTTATATGCATAGAATCTGATTTTGTAAATGATAGCTGGCTATCTTCTGTCGAAGTTTTTGCGATCTTGACATATTGATAAAAGCAATAGACTATAATATGGAAATGCATTGATGGAAATACATTGATATTTGTTTGGTTGCAGCGCAGGCAAGATTGTTTTTGATCCATTGTCTTTATTTAAGCCTTTTTAATTATTATTATAGAAATAAAAAGTCTTAAAAAGTGTAAAAAAATACCTTCTAAATGACTAAATACAGTATGAATATAGAGTTATTAATTGTATACAGATAAATAAATAACAATCATATGTGCTCTTTATGGAATTTGCATGTAATGCGTATCTTTTGGAATCTTCAATGACTTTGTATTTTATTTTGTACAGCACAGCAAAACAAAGTCTAAAATTGATAAGTTACCATTTAATATTTCTTTTTTATACTTTATGATTTAATTATTATACATGATGCAGAAAAATAAACCACAAAAACCAGGATTACGCATACAATTGTTACATTTTCAAAGGCTTATGTGATTTTTCTAAAATGAATGTGTATAATGACGAGGTACTGTGGCTATGCACAGAGCCAGAAAAGCAGCAAAGAAACTAATTTATAATCAATAGATTGCTTATTATTGCTGCTCTTCACAGCTATATGTATACAGCCATAATTGTATACGTTAACTTGAATTTTAAAATTTTATCTCTGCTCTTTCGACATTCAGTTTGAAGCAAACTATGTTTAGATTTAGGTTTAGTAAATAATTGCAGTGTAATATAATAATAGAGGAAAACTCGGTACGAATATTTGTATCTATCACCAAATATTATACAATCATGTGGTCAACCTATAATTAGGCACATCTTTCTATTGTTAAGGTTAAAGTGCAGATATTTTAATTGCGTTACAACACATGTGGCTGAAACTCTCCATATGTATAGTACATATAATGTATCGTAATACATACGTACATATTAAGTTGTAATACGTATTGATACATACATTTACTTATTTTGTTGATGAAACAAACAAAAAAAGAAATTACAACAAAAACTGTGTAAATACTTTAAAATTTTAAAGTTAGTTAAATGAACTCTCGATGTATTGATGACTAATTAAATTATCGATCTAGTGATTTGTTAAAAAATTTTGATTAATGAAACGGATCACTTCACTATAACAAGAGTGTGTTGTATTAAAAAAAAAAAGGACTTATTAAATTTGCAAATAATAAATAAGTGTACACATAATTTGTTACGTATGTTGTGACAGTCAGGTTTAGCAAGTTGTCGCATATAATGGGAATATATTTTCCAGTAAATTATTACTACTTAGTGTAAAATGGCGGCGTTTCATAGGGTTGGTGCCTTATGTACTACCAATAGACGGTCATATGCAAATCTGGTCTTTTAGATTCAACCAAATTTATGGGAGTAATATCGTTCCTAGAAATCCCAAAAAATAGGTTCAATTTCCTTACTTGAATTGATGTTAAAAATGAAGAAATCAAAATTAGGGTTAGGGTTGTTCAGAGGTTAGGTGTCAAGGAGTATTTTTTGTTTACTGGTTAATCTATGTAGATCATCAAATTTTATTGGTAGATCATCCAAATAAGGTAGTCGGCTAAAGTTTTAGGGTTACCTTATACATGTTATATATTTATGTAGTATGTAGATCATATATTAATTAACTCCGCTTTAACAAACCCAAATAAGGAAATTTGAAATTGGGAGCCTGTTTTTCGACCAATTTTACCGTTCCCAAAATTAATTGTCACGTCGCATGATGCTTATTTAAAGACATCTATTACAGTATTATGATTAGTTCATTATGTACTTTACTTCATCAATGCTTTTTTCATAAACCATGTATTTAAGCTCCTTTGATTTTATATTGTTTTTTTTTCTTGTAAATATTACGGTTTCTTCTCTGTTTTCATTTATATGATATATGGTTTTTGTTATTTTGAAATAAAACAATGAACAAGATTGCTTAAAATATGTGCTATCCACCTTAAAAATATTACAAAGTTCAAAGAAAAAACATTCAACTTATTGCTGCATTATATGTACAGTATTATTAATCAAAATATTGTTATTAAATGTTTAATGTTTGCAAATAAATTAAGCACCGATTACGTACCCGATTTTGGTGGCGATACTAGGTGGGTCATTACTCATAATCAGCGGACTTTGAATATGCATCACGAAACGTGCAATTAATTTTCGAGATTACTGATCTATATATTAAAATCGTTGGATTATGCATGACGACTGACCTTTTTAAACTCCGATATTTATGTTACTTAATATAGATTTGATATATAATCTATATATAACGATAAGAAACACATTTTGTCTATTACAATCAGATCATATTAATTGCCGAACTAGCTCTCAGGCCCGGGCGATGCTCCGGGGCTAGGTTCTTTGTATTTTAGATCTCAGATTCTGTATTTAATTTTTAAATAAATTTAATATATATTTAAAAATATGTAATATATTTATAATTTATAGTTTTCTAGTTTTTAGGCTTAGGTGATGTTTCAGATTTAGATCTTAAGTGTTTTAAATCTTAAATTTTATAATTTTTTAGTTCTTAGACTCAGATGTAATTTTTAAAATTAAATTATTTAAGTTTTTTTATAATTTTTCAAAAACTAATAACTTAAATTTGTTAAAATTTAAATATATTATAACCTTATATTATTACTACTAATTATTAAAATTTTATTTAATTGGAATAAGTAGTTATTGAGAAAATTATAATTAAATATTGATATAAATTTAATAAAAATTTTAATTTATATACAATTTTTAAATAATAATACTTTTAGATTATATATATTAATTTAATAATAATACATTTAGACTATATATATTAATTATATAAAAATATTTTTAGACTATATATAATAATAAATTAATTTTTTTTTTTATTAAATAATACTCAAGTAGAAACTTTATTATATATAGAAATATAAGTTCTAAATTTAAAGATTTCTAAACTACATTTGTGTTACAATTAGGCATCCAATGTAACATTATATCTTCTATTTTCTATGTTATGCTATAGCTAACTATTTCAAATTAAGTTCTAACTAGAATAGATTTGAGAAAACTTTTGAGTGATTGTCTGAACATTAAATTATACAAGATGTTAGAGAATATCTCTGTAAGAACCATTTTGTGATTAAGAATTTAGTATTTATAGATTGAGAAAAAGTTTTAGTATTGTTTGAAGGATTGAGTAGAGTTGGTAAACTGATTTTGGTATATTTAGATTTTGATGTAATATTGCAAGAGTTTTTCCATTGGTGTTAATATATATTATAGATAGACCAAAATTCTTGATGATACCAGTTAAGTAGTTTGTTTAAGAAGTAAAGCAAAAAAGTATCTGTTTATTTATTGATAAGTGTTTTGATATTATAATATATAGTAGTTGAATAAATTTCAGTAATAGTATATAAAATATATTTGTATTAAAAATTTGAGAAATGAAGTGTAAAATTTAGAAGAATATTTAATAGAGTTGTTAAGGTTGTATTAGTAATTTGAAGTGATTAAAGAGTATTATGTATAATGTTTTCAAGTGATTGTAGAATATTTGTGGTATTGTTAGGACTAAAATATTAAATTAATTAATAATAATACTTTTAAACTATATATAATTATATACAAATATATATTAATAATAAAATAATAATATTTTTAAACTATATACAAATTATATACAAAT